CCCACCCCCCGTTCCTTCACTCAACAAGTTTATTTTACATATCTCTTACTTTTCCCTTCTCATCTTTTTTCTGCGTCACAATCGACTAGTCGCATAATAATTGTAAATCATCTGCCATTGGGAAAAATAAAAAATTCTTTATCATCGGTCGTAACAAGATCCGCTCTTGCGTATATTTTGTTTTTCCAACTTTATTCCAATACCAGTTGTGCCAGTAAAAGAAACAGCATATGATCGATATACGAATGGAATATCGGGTGACTTATTTGCATTGCAATGCGTAAGAGAAGGCCCCCCGAAATGCCCATACAGAATAACGTACGTTGAAAGAATCACGTAGCGTCATCCGTGTTAAGCTTAAAAATTCTTTAAAAAAAAATGAGATATACGAAAGGCTGTTTAATGTAATAACGATAAAAATGCAAATCATAATAGCTCACCAAAAATGTTTAATTTTTCAGACGTTCCAAACTGTCGTTCTACTCAGGCACAGCAAAGCACACGTTCTTAGCAGTATTGCTATACGCATCCTTTGGATCAGTTAATTGCCAGTCAAATCAGCAAAACAATCTGCGCGGTGTATATTCATGGAAAGCTCTCGAGTTTGCATTTCCAAGTGAAAGAGCCAGAGAAGCTGCCATTAGCAGGGGCGAATTTATACCAGGCAGCCCCTTGCCAATAGACATGGACGTATTTTACGGGGGTGAGTTAGGTCAAACCTATATACTAATCGAGCACGTAAAATTTCGTAGTAAATTGCCAAGGCTACGCTGAGTGTTGTCACGCTATAAATGTTATGCAATTAAACTAGAAAACAGAAACAAGTTGACCTTCCTTGTACATCAATACTTATAGGTAAAAGAGGCCCTATGGTGTTTCTTTCTATACCACGTTTTCAAGATGGCGTTCCCGTGACAATTGGATACGTTAGTAACAACGTGACTCGAGATGGAAATCCAATAATAGCACCGTATCCCGATTGGAGTTGGAATCGATTAGGTGGCTGCGACGCCATTACCAGCGTTTATAGAATTCAGGTAAGTTTATACGCTTTATTTAATCGATAGTAAATTTAACGAAATTTACGAGAAAACTACCATGAGATCAGTATAGTTTAATATTTATGTTTTTTTTTCACCTTTTTATCTTCGATCAGGTTGACGCGTGCGGCAGGTTATGGATTCTTGATACAGGGAAATTGGGTGACCGCCAAGTGTGTCGTCCACAAATTTTGGCATTTTCATTGACGTCAAACAGATTGTTAAGAAGATACAGATTTCCCAGAGATCACTTCAAGGATGATTCCATATACGTCACTGTCATCGTTGACGTTCGAGATCCTGAAGGTTTTTGTAGAGATACGTTTGTCTATATCGCCGACGTCACAGGATTCGCACTTATTGTATACGACATGTACAACAATCAATCTTGGAGGATTCATAATAATTTATTTTACCCTTATCCACAATATGGGACTTTCAATATCAAGGATGATAGTTTTGACCTGATGGACGGAATCCTCGGACTTGCCCTGAGTCCCTACAAATTTAATCAAGACCGAATTCTGTACTTCCATTCGTTAGCCAGTCGCGTTGAATCCTGGGTACCCACTTCAGTGATTAGGTAATCATGTTAGATATCTATAATTTGCCGATTAATTAATTTTAAAAATTATTCTGGGCCATACTATTTTTTTTTATAGAAATTATACAATGTTCTATGATGATCCTGATGCTTCTCCAAGATCTTTTCAAGCTTTTGATAAAGAACGGTCTTCTCAATCAGCTGCTCAAGCTATGGATCGAAACGGTGTCCTGTTTTTTGGATTATTGTCCGATCTTGCTATCGGCTGTTGGAATAGTCGTGATTATTCGTACGGCGGTGATAACATCGAGAAAATTGCGGTGAATTCAGAAACACTGCAATTTCCATCCGGATTAAAGGTACGCAAATGAATGTTTTTTTTTTAATGGTATATCAAAGACTTCGATGATTATGGAATACTTCCGGTAACGGCCGAGCGGCTCTTTTACAGATAATCACAGCGAAGAACGGACGTCAAGAATTATGGGTAGTGACGGTATCGTTTCAAAAATTCATGAGCGGTTCGTTGACACCGAATGAGACGAATTTTCGAATTCAGGCTGCGTACGTTGACGAACTGGTACGCGGCACCAAATGCGACGTTGCCAGCCTTGGTATCAGCAATGTCGTTGAACGTCCAACCACAGGAGGGTACGGGCCGATCTTGTTTACTAAGTAAGAGCTAATTAACAAAAGGACACGAGTCCCCGAGAAGTTAATCAAACGTTAATCAAAAAAAAAAAAAGGACCGGAATACCACGGTGTCATAATCAATTGTATTTAAAAAATTTAATCAAAAATCAAAATCACCGCTCTATTCCGTACTCTTAATGTATATCGTGGTAATGAAAAAGTATTGATGGAAAAAGTAAGAAAATAAACGAAACAAACACGGGCCCTCGTCATCCCTTCTACAGGATCAGACCAGCCCGCTACACCTTCTATATCGACCACGGATGAGCCATAACCACGTGGATCAAGATGTGCATGCATGAAAACGTACGTCCACTTGCGTGACTTCGGGGACCAATAAGAGGCGGAACAAACGGAACAATCAAATCTTTAGGATTTAAGTTTATTTCCCTATACCCAAGATACGAATGCCATTGAGTGAAATTATTCATTGTGATTATTATATAAATTTTTATCTTCTTTTTCTCATCGAGGTGCCATTTGGAACTCGTTTTCAAATATTTTTTATAAACTAGTATATTTCCTGGTTGTTGTGTTGCAAATCTTTATAATGTAGGTATCGAGAACAGCGGATACGTCTAGGTCTGTAGCGTGCGAGAGAAGTGTGACTCTTGGATGGTGACGTAACGTGGCCGAGATAGGAATTTTCTTTCTTGTCGGTTTTGACGAAATTCTTGGAGATTGCCAATCTCATGACACCCGTCGAGTTGGCAATTCTTTGATAATAAATTTCTAGTTTGTTAGAAACTATATATATATACATGTTCACAACATGCATTACATATACGTGGACTAGGAAGTGATTATATACTGTTTATCGTCAAATTAATTATTTAACGATATTATTAATTATACTCCTGTAATGTGTTTAATGAGAGTGATGAAAAATTGTGAAATTAATAAAACTAAAGAATTGAACAGTAATTGACATTTATTCACATTTTTTGGTGGATAAGGCATCACCTTTTATTTTTGGTGTCTGTTACAATTGACCCCCCACCTCTTCCACGTATACGAAGTTTTCTCGTGTCAACTCATATGTTATAATTCAAATAAACTTAATATCTCAAAAATATTTGTACAACTTGAAGTGTGATGATTGGAAACGTGTATGCCTATAGCGTATAATATCCGCTATAAAAATCGTAGCTATTTATTTCTTGCTTCCTAGAAATTTTTCACGCTGGCGGCTGATTGGCATTCTTACGCGTAATAAATACAATGTATTAGAAAATATAGGATTAGAATAACTATAATGTTGTATACATATAATCGCCGTACGTCTTCAGTGTTCAGATAAACAATTTTTCAGAAAATGAAAAAAATAAATAAAATCAATTATAGTGCAATTCATAAAACATTTCAATGTTTAAGAAATTATGGAAAATACAGCTAATGTAACGTTTCTCCCCTTTGCCCAATCGAAGTTAGTAGCTGATAAAATTTAATTAATCCCATACAGCATTTTATGCAAATTAATTATGTATTTGTACAAGGACAACTGTGTTTATTTGAAACGCTTAGAATCCATTTCCATATTAAATGCGTATTTGGTCAGTAGGTAGTGACAATATTAAGCATATTGAACACACTATACTTGAAGAAATTTATCAGTAATAGTACATTTTTCCTGCAAACGACGCATTTCACACAGGGCATTTCTTGTGTATCAATAATCATTAATTATATGTCGTTTCAACCATGACGTGTAGACGTAATCAGCGTAATGGTGTCGTATTGATACGAAAATTGAACATTGTCAATATCGTTATTTTAATATTACGTCATTACTGCACTATTAAATCACGAAATTATATTGCAATTAGGTATATCGATAAATAACAATATTATTCGAAATAACAATATAAATAACAATATTTTTCATCGTCAACTTTCTGTCATAGATGAAAAATTTTTTAAATACGAATTTGATCGAAGGAGACAGTGCCCTTGGAAATGTGAATGTCTCCAAGAGTCCGACTAATAGGTAGTGATCCATATTTCTATCTTTATACTGATTGGATCCTCTGCTGTAAAGATCATTGCGATGTGCATCATCAATGTCTATAATATAAGTGTAAGTAGAATTCTGTCAAACAATAGTATATCCGCTATGATGGTACCGTGACTTTAATGATTATCATCAAGGTCGTCAATCAAGGTCAACTCCTCTTACGAATTGTAGATTTGAAATCTGTTTATACGGAACGAATCAATCAAGGCTCCATTGCTAGACTTTGATTTATCAAAAATTCAAATAATTTATTTCACAGATTCGCTGACTTCACTGCTACAATCTTAATGACATCAAAGACAGATATCAGTGCAACTGATTATTCTACGTTAAAGTTGATCATCAAAATCTCAATAGAAAAAAAATAAATAAAAATTGATAAATTGCTCCACCTGGTTATTCAATATGACAGTCTTCCCTATATTTGTTAGTGGTTCTTACGAAAGAAAAATTGTCATCTAAAATTTAATCGAAGTAAAATAAATTGAATAAAGTATTTCTTGGAGCTCTAACTAAACCTTCAAATACCGATTAATTTTATTGTGCTGAGTTGTTCGCGTGACTTAACGATATCGTCGCGACATATAATGACTGTATCGGGTTTGTGAAATATAATACTGAAAAAAGAAGGCAAACTTGAAAGAAAAGAATACTATCACCAATTTCCGTTCATTACCGTTTCTTCGTGATAAGAATTGGAGTAAATGGCAATATATGAAAAGTAAGTTTCACAAGGCACTTAGGCACGTTTCTTGGAAAACGTTTTACATGCACATATTGCAAATTTATATAGCTGGTGTGCACCTTGCGCATTGTATGCGGATACGTAAATATGCTTCTGATAACACGTTAAATCCCATATATTTACAACTGCGTTGCAATATACTTGTTTAGTGCACTGAGGACTGTCTTCCTTATATCTGCCATAGTGAAAAAACGTATTTTGTATTTGATTCGTACGATTTTGTGTTTTAACTAAAAAAATGATATTATTTTACATTTTTGCATTGGTATTAACTGTCCATGGTGGCAAACTCAGGACAGTGCACGAGTGGAAGTATATCGATTACGAATTTGTTAACTCCCAACACAGACAGCAAGCTATTTTGTCGGGTGAATACAATTACACCCAATGTGCTATAATCGATACTGACGAAGCGCGAGGTATTTGCAATTTTTCTTTACCATCTGTCCTAATAAAAATCCAATAACGAGTTACACGAACGAAAAAATAATAATGACAATAATTTTCGGAAATTTTTATTTCGTAAGAATTTTTATTTCTTTAATTTACACTTCACAGACGGCCGAAAATTTTTAACTATCGTTAAGCAAAAGGGCGTACCAGCCAGTTTGGTAACCGTCTCAAAACTATATGGTCCAGGGGGTCCTCTTGTGAGTCCTTACCCTGATTGGTCATGGGCCAGTAAAAATGACTGTACAGGTATAACTGGTGTCTACAGAGTAACTGTATGTAAAAATAAGTTCAATCGCAAAATAATTACAGTAGTCTCCCGTTAAATGTGGCATTCTTGGGGTGTAGAGAAAACCGATTAAAAGAGAATGAAGACTTAACGAGAGTCCTCACTCTTTCAAAAATCCTTATCAGAATTCTTTTTTCTTACTTTTCTCCACCCACGTTGTCTTTCGGCTCGTATCAGTCATTACGCTCGGTAGGCGGTCGTAGAGATACTCCAAATGTCCCCAGGTGCAAGATAAGCGAGCCATTTAAGGAGAAACGTATACTTATCAAGGATACGCTTAACGGGAGTCCAGTGTATGTAAATAAAACACAGTACATTAAAATAAATAATACTTAATTATTAAAATTCATTCCAGATTGACGCATGTCACAGACTATGGGTTTTGGATACCGGTGTTGTCGGTTCGGATCAAGTGTGCCCAGCTCAATTGTTGGTTTTCGATCTGATCAATGATCAGTTACTTAGAAAGATTACAATTCCAATGAAGTTTGCAACCTCTTCTTCTTCCAAGCGTGGACTCCTGGTGACACCTGTAGTGGACTCAAGTAAAGACTGCCAAGTCCATAATGTGATTATCTAACAGGAATCCAAAGTTGTTGTTACCTTCGAAACAAAATTTAATTACCAATTTTCTTTACTAGGTTTATATAGCCGATGTCGAAGGTTATGGACTTATAGTTTATGACGGTACAGATATATGGCGTCTGGAGTCAAAAGTCTTCAAACCTGATCCAAATGGAGTAAAGTTCACTATCGCTGGTGAGAGTTTCGTACTGGAGGATGGAATCCTCGGAATGGACCTCGCAGATAAGTACAGTCCACACTCGAAATTACTGTATTTCAAACCTTTGGGATCGTTCAATCAATTTGCTATCAGTACCGAAGCTCTTTCACAGTCACGGGATAAATCTGTGACTTATTATAAAAGTAACTATAAAATGCCCAGCCAATCAGCTGCTCAGGCTTTTTCCTCTCGCGGTATTCTATTCTTTGGACCCACTGCTAATACGTCACTGGCGTGTTGGAATTACAAGAAAGAATTCAATCAGGATAACATCGTGAGTTGTCATGTTTATTTTTTTTTTCTTAAGTTATTCAATTTTTCATAACGCTTGATCATTAATATCATTGACTTCCTGTCAAACATATTTAGGTCACTGTGGCACAAGATGAGGAACGACTTCAGTTTTTGAGTGGTATGAAAGTGAAAAGATTCCCAAGACGTCCGGAGAAAGTCTTGATGGCGTCCAATCGTTATCAGAAGATAATGGCTGGTACAATGAACTTCAATGAGGTCAATTTTCGCATATTGGAGGGTCCGGTTCAGTCACTGATAGCCGATACCAATTGTGTTCCATCGTCGAATACCGAAGGGAAGCCTCTTGAAGGATTTTCAAAAACCAGTTGAATTTTTATAACTATTATGGAACTAACGCACAGTCACTATTGATACCTATGTCTAATAATCAAAATCGAGATAAAATAAAATTTTTTGTTCGCAAGAAAAAAAATCAAGTACAATTTGATTCCATCGATAAAGTATTATTTATCTATCGATCAGCTTCCCAAGCGCGATTTGCTCGAATGATTTTGAATGGTAGAAAAAAAAATGGAATCAAATAAAAAAGTGATGGACGATCCATCATCAGCGATTTCTCAAAGATCCTGCGCAATCGTAAGATGCGAACTCCGTGGCACTAGCGTACTGATTATGCAATTACTTGAATGATGACCGTTCTTAAATAATCGTAGTAAGGAGTCCCTGATTAAAATGATGGCTTAAGGTCGTATCCTCATTCGGTCATTAGTTAACGCTCGAGTTGATTCGCTATGCTATCGCTCTACTAACAGCATCCCTACAGTAGTATATAACTATATTGTATACCAGTAACAAGCCTTTGCTTTAAGACTGCGGTTTTCTGTTCATTTTAGACGAGCGTAACATCCGTGCAAATGCCTTTTACTTTTTATGTCTCTACAGAATGCACGGTAACTAATTGTTCCAAGTTAGCTTGGACTTTCAGAGCGTTGTAAAGGTTTGTTCCGCTTCCGGCGTGCGGTTTACTACACCACTAATATCCGGTATCGCAAAGAGAATCAATGATATTATGGATTCAAGAGAATTGGGAGATTCCGAAATTAGTATATGTTTCCTATGTAGACAGGTTATGATGATCTTGGAGACTGCTCCCATTTCAGTGAAATAATCTAGAACGGGTTTCCGTGATGTCATAAGTGGATAGTTGTTCTAGCAACTATATAAGAAGTAGTCGATGATCTGAATATATTCAGTGAACCATTGCTACTCGCGATTTCAATTCTTACTCAAAATCTGGTGTTGCTTATTCATTTATTTTTTTTAATTAAATAATTGAATATTGATTGATTGACCGTTGAAGCACGATTTAATCGTAAGTAATGGATATTTATGATAATCTGGTTATGATTTTTCTCACGCGTCTTCGACCTACTTAGTTACCTGTATTTTCACTCTGAAATCGATTATTATATTCAAAGCAAGTTTTCTCTCCAACGGTGGGTAGTAGTTATTGGCATCATGGTGATGATCATTGAGTGCATGGTGCTGATTTACACCAATGCCAGGAAAGCCTTAGCGATAAATCACTAATGGTGCTTTCTCCACTATTGAACAGCTAGTAATCAGTCGGTTACGTGTAAATCGAGTCAGTCACTCCTTGAAGTTTCCTGCGTTCGTGGTTACCGGTCCTCGTGATCATTATCAAAAGTGTAATTGTCTTGAAATTCACGTAAAACGAAGAGTAACGAAAGCGAAATAAAGTACGGTACTTTACATAAAATTCGAGCAGTTGATCCACGTGAAATTACAATTTCATTGAATCATCATTAGTCACAAGTAAATAATGATTACTGATGGGTGAACTAGACTTGCTTAACCTCCTAGCAACCTCGGTGCCTTCTGAAGTACGTTGAATATTTTTTTTCTTCACAAATTTGACTGTCTGCAAGGTAGAGTTTCGAATAATAAATTATCATTGTTTTGGAGCCAGATGGAAGCTGGGGGTTAAATATTTAGTGAAGAAAGTGCGTGTTTTAGTTCTGGACTTACAGCACAACGACGGCGTCTCCGGCAATACGCCAATTTCTGGTTACGCCGCTTCGATGTGTGTAATTAAAAATTTGTCAGGATAATCTGCATACTGTTTTGAAAGAACATAAATTATTCGGGAGTGACAAAAGTGCTTGTGATTAATCAACACTTTCAGGTTGATAGATACTATAATTAAAAAAAAAATTTTTTCTAATATTATTCGAACGCTCAGTTTTCATATAAAAAAACTTTTTTTAATTGATTAATTACGATAAAAGTATTTTCGATACACTGTCACGTGTCTTTGTTGATCTATTTCTATCAATAAACGTGACGGAGGATCAAATATTTTTTGGCCCGAAAAAAGTTATTTGAATTTCGTTATACAACTCGAAGCGATTCTTCAGTATGTTCACGTAACTGGTGCTCTTTTTGTTGCCTGAATGACAGACGACAGTAAAAAAAAATTATTCATCCAATACAAATGAACAGGTTATTGGGACAGATTTACCTTTTACGCTTGATCAACTTATTTCCCTGAACTTTCTCGACGGTCTGTTTAACGTACTGGGTGATAGTACCAAGTGCTCGTGCTTGCTTATCGAGTGCATCTTGAAAGATACACATGAGTAGAGTCTTTTATTTTCGAGAAATGTGATGGCGAGGAAACGAAGAAACGTCCCTGGAGACGTCGGTGTTGTCGGGGACAGCAGCAGCTGGGTTTACAAATGGACACAAACTGGATCAGGATCAGGGAGTACGTTTTTCCACTCCCAAGATCATTCACGTGACGATTCGATTTATCGGTACCATAGAGACTTTTTGGAAACACAGAGACAACGGTCGAAGAATGCTCGCAATAAAAATCGTAAGTATATTTTTTTTCTTGACAAAAAAATTCGTATAGCAACAAGTATTTAGCTTTTATTGCGACAGAAAACTCTAATTTTCCAGTAATAAAGTTTTTGAAAAAATTAGTATTATGTTTCCTCGTAAAGGAAGCTTATGAGGCTGTTGAACGAATTTCCCAACAGTATGATAAACCGGTTCTCCTGCATTGAGGCTGCTTAGGGCGTATTGAAAGGAATACTCGAATCCTCTTGACATTTTAATTATATGTACATTTAAGCGACTCCTTGTAAGTTGACAAATAATATAATTGATTTTGCATAATGAACATTGAACTCCTAGTTAATTTGAAAATTTATGCATGTCGCTTTACAGATGCTATAGAGAGTGTATCGAGTAACCAAAATCCATGAAACAACACTTCGCATAATTCCCTATTAAAATAATGAGAAATCGTTGGCCTTCAGATTCTTTAACAAATATTTCATCGTTTTATCGAAATACCAGTGTCTTAATACTACCTCCACATTCTTAAAAAAAAAACCAATACTCAGTACCAAAGCCTCCTGTAGTCTCAGACGGTCGTGAAATGAAGACTCAAAAGTCATGCAATCAGAAAAGAGTAATTCTTATGTAACTCATTGACGGATCAATTCTTCAACATCAAGAATTCAATGCACCCTGTATATTAATGCAGAACACGTATTAATGTCTATTGGCTGTAGGTAGCCGAGTGTAACCATTACGGCTCATAAAATTAAAATGAGTTTCTCCCTGTCGTTCAGTAATAAACCGATAAAGAAATTATGAAAAAAATCATAAAAAGTGCACAGACTCTGCTGTCCACGAATTCATCTATCGAGAGTGAATATTCTGGTTAGTAAAAAAGAAGGCGTACCAGTCCAATTTCTTCATACCTTCGTAGTTTGCACTGTTGTCTGTCCGTTAAAAGAATGAAAACTTTTGAGCGTAACACGCCTACTTATATACTTCTCTTCACTTTGTACTTGGGAGCAAAAGCGTCTGTTATATTCCATAGACGCAGCGTAATCGCTCGTAATTGTCATTTGCTTGATCTGATCGACGATCGGTAATCTACGGCATCGTCCGATCTGGTCGTTGATTTCTACCAACTTTCCATCAACTTCATCGATCGTCATTATTTTCTTCCTTCATAGGGACAATTAAGTTTTAAATCTAACAATTATGTAAGACTTTCCATAACAGTATGCGTGTCTGTACACACACGTTATTGTTACGACCAATTGGGTCACGTGCATGAAAAAAATAAAAAATAACACAATAATACATTACATAAGAATTCCGTACTTTAAGACCACGCCTTTCTCTTGGAATACCATACGAGTTTAATTGTTTTTCCAGAAAATTGACTGAACCCAGTTTTCACTTTGGTTAGAAAAAATCGTTTTTTTTTTAAGGTCTCAAGCAACCTTGGCATATCGTCACTGGAAACCATGAATAAATTGACATTTATGATTTGCATATTTTAAGATTGCGCAATCATTATAAATATTGATACTTGGTAATCAATTACTGCCTAACAATTATTCAAGGATTTTATAATGACTTATGCTTAATAATGTATATATAAGAAACTATAGATGATGATGTCTATATGTATATGATATTGATGCCTTTCTCTTTCGGTATCGTCGGATGAAGTATTTGTGCACCCATGGAACCCATGGAACCTATACGCCAGTGACCCCGTTTCCAAGCAAGACTCGAGAGTGTCCTAGTACCTCTTCCTCAAGATATCCTGAGTAGGGATAGTGTGTAACCCATTCTCTAAGTTCCGGGACGATTTCATCTCATGTGAATTATCTTCACTTTGGATACCTAGTGGTAGTTGCAAGCTGCGCGTAATAGCGTGTGCATAGATGGATGGAGCATGCACCAAGAAAAGCCTCAGTGACATTAAACATAGCATAAAAAATTTCATAAAATATTAAGTAACAATTGTGAACACTGAACCAGCCAAAAGATAAAAGGTCAGAGGTTATTTTAAATATACAAAAAAAAAGAGAACAAGAATAATCTGTCAAATTCAAAAATACTTATTAAAAGTGCAATGTAATTATTGTATAATTTTGTGACAAGTCATAGTGCATCACATACGACTTGGATAGAAAAATATTATTATTTTATAAAATCGTATTTTTAAGTTGATACATTGTTTTTATTTTCATCGTACCGTAATTCGATTGGATCTTCCTTGGCCAATAACCAGAGAACAGTGCTTAATATTCGTCATATCGCAACTGGGTCATCGTGGAGCATGATGTGTTCTCATTACGCAACACTTGATATCATAAATGGCTGCTGACGCTACGAAATCCTCGTGAATTCGAATTCCAGTGTATATTTTTTTCTTTTTATCTATACAGGTATGGCCAACGTCATACCGTGGCTGGTGTCGATGTCGCTGCTGGGTGGGACGCGACAATACGTACAGCACACCGGCCCTGACTTATTATCCAGAGAGCTGCAGGCGCCATTGCCCTCAATCGATCCCACCGGATATTCTCTGGTAAATTACATAAAATAAATTAGAAATAAAATAAAGAAAACAATGGTTCCTATCCGTACGAGAAATTCCTTTGGTATAGTCGTATCTCTTTCCTTGTATGAATATTTCTTATGTATCATATCCGTATGTTTTTTCTTATCTTGCCGTTTCTTTTGGAGTTCAATTTAATACGGTACGCGTACACGCGTATCTATGTATGTTTCATTGTTCTTTGTACGGTTCCGGCATTGCAGGACGTTCCCAGACACTTTCCACCGTGCGATCCCTCGTCACCGGAAACTACAGCACATCGAAAACCAACGGAACACCAGGACTTCGCGTATACTGAATTCAATTCGAAGAACACTCCGATCTCTGGCAGAGCTCTCGATTCATTTACAAATGCTGTAGATCCTAATTCGGTTCGGCAAATATCCAATGCGAATTTGGGTAATGTGGACTTGACGAAAGAGGCATACAAGACCAGTCATAAATATACGCCTCCGAAAAACGAGGATTCTATGGATGAATATGCTGGTCCGTCAATGGAATTGGTAAGTGTGTAGGTGCATTTGCATTACCGTTAAAATATTGAAACTAAACAAGAAATGCTAATCATATACCATGTTTATGGTTTCTTCAGGTCTTCTCTTGGGACATGGTGGACTTTGAATTCGGTAGTAAAGAAGCACGTCGAAGAGCCATCTTCGAGGGGGAATATATTCCTGAAAATTGTCTTCCTCTGGGTTTGGAGTTATGGCGGGACAAAGTCTTCGTGACCTTACCCAGGTGGAAGGAAGGCATACCCGTCACGTTGGCAACGGTGTCCAAGAATGCAAGAAGTATAAATCCAAAGCTTCAACCGTATCCCTCTTGGGACTGGCATCAGTCAGGTAATGAATTTTAACGATCCCGGGGTTTCTGTTTGGGTAGACAAATGGTTTTTAATTTTCTATTTATATCTTAATATTTCAGAACACTGCAAAGGACTCACTTCGGTCTTCCGTGTTCAGGTCGATGAATGTGACCGACTCTGGGTCCTAGACTCTGGTCAGGTTAACGTCACTAGTAGCCCTCATCAAATATGTCCACCCCAGGTCTTCGTATTCGATCTGAAGACGGATACCCTACTGCGACGTTTCGCTCTTCCACCGGGACAGATAAAGCAGGACTCTCTTTATTCAAACATAGTAGTCGACGTGCGCAATGGCAACTGCGGCGCTGCCGTCGCTTACCTGTCCGACGTCTGGAGATTTGGTCTGGTCGCTTATGACTACTCGAAGGATACGTCCTTTAGGATTCAACATCACTTCTTCTTCCCGGATCCTCTGTCATCTCGTTATGAGCTCCATGGACTCCATTTTCAATGGACAGATGGAATATTCGGAATAGCCCTCAGTCCAATTGATATCAATGGCGACAGGACATTGTTCTTCCATCCCATGTCCAGTTTCCGGGAATTTGCCGTATCCACCTCGGTCCTCAGGGATGAGAAGACTGCTGATGATAATCCGGAGAAATTTGTGCCAATTGGCAGACCTCGCGCTAAGGACTTTGGACACAGCTCCGGATCTGCCATTGATAAGGATGGTGTTATGTTCTTTAATATGGTCACCAGGGATTCGGTGTGGTGCTGGGATACAAGGAAGGAATATATACCGCAGAATTTGGGGGTGGTCGGGCAAAGCAATGTCTCATTGGTCTTCCCTAATGATATTAAGGTCGATCATGAGGATGATCCAAGCGTTTGGATATTATCTAATAGATTACCTATGTATCTATATGGCCATCTTGACTCGAGGAATGTTAATTATAGGATCTTCAAAGCTAATATTAAGGAAGCTATCAGGAACACTGTATGTGATCCTAATTACGTTGTGCCTAAATCCGAACAGGGTTATGATAATGATACGTGTTAAGATACTTTTTTTTTAGATTGGTACTACCATGTCTTTTGTATATAATCATTTTAATTATGTGTGACTCCTTGAAATAAAAGGACAATTTTTTTTACGAGTATTGGACAATTTTATTTATTCTTATTACTTTGTCATGTTTCTGTTGTACCTTGCCTGTCGAAAGAGTCACTTGAAAATTCTTCCATTATGCTTTGATCACCTAATGAGATCGTTTGATTAGAACTGTCAGATGGTATTTTTGAGTCAAGGCTGTACGAGTGACTGGAGGATATTTTTGAGAGCGATTCTGCGTTTGACGATTTCTGAATATCCTCAAGATTATTTTTGCTTGGAAATGTAGCATTTTTTAACAAGGACTCATAAAGAAAGAAATGTTGCCGAAGGTATATACTGTTACGTATTTTTTTGGTATCATTAAAATCCATTGGATTGTCATGAACGTTTAAACAATTTTTCTCAATGTTTGGCTTGGCATGAGATTGAATTTCTGAGGAATTCTCAAGTGGAATTCCTGCGCTCGTACAGGGTTCTTCATCCGGAATATTTAACTGGGACAATTTAAATCCGCAAGGTATGGCAGAGTCATCAAGTGACAAATCGATTTCTACAGAAGGCTGACTGACAAATTCACTTGGGACACCGACAAAATTCCATTCCTTCAAATCCTTAATCATTATCTCAAGATCAACAAATTTTCTATTATAGTCCAAGGACTTCAATGTTCTAGTTTCGTCTTGATTCGTAAAATAGATGATCCTCATCAACCAATGCAACGTATCATCAAATTTTACGGCTTCATTTTCATTCTGATCCTGCCAATGATTATCTTGTAAATTTTCTGTGGGACAGGTATTCGTTTCAATTTGATTTTTTGTAAAGGATATCCAATTAATATTTTTAATGACTTCCTTAAAAGATTCACTTTTTCCAATTATTTTTACATTGTTCCCTTTATCCTGGATATTTATTTGGTCTTGTGATGTCCTTTCGTTCATTACAGATATGGATATGTTTTCCTTACATTTTACCTCTTGAAAAGTTGGAGTTTTTATATTTTTATTAATATTCTCAGAGGTAGTAATCCTATTGAGGACGTCCGCCTGTAAATCCTTAGCCAGATTGTTACAGGATGAAGAACGCTTAATTTTCTCTTTTTCTAAAATATTGGATTCTCTTGGCTCTAGAATATCGAGGTCCCTGATCTTTTTCAATTCTTGTATCAATTGCGTAATATTATACGTATCCAAAAATTCAAGGATACTCAAAGCATCCTTATCAGATATATTCAGTTTTTTAATAAAAATATCCTGAGTCTTTGGATAATATGTGTTTCTCAAAGGATCATAATTTTTCAAAATATTTTTGTTTGGAAATTTCGAAGGATCCTTTAAATCTTCACGGATTACTACACTATCATTCTTTATAGAAATATCACGTTTTTTACTCTCCATTTCTAGCTTATCTTTTATTAATGTTTTTTCATTGTAAGCTCTGAGAGCTTTCATTTCTCTAGCTTCTCGTTCTTCTAATGATTCGGATATCCTGCTAATCCTCGAAGACTTTGAACTTCTCATAGAATCTCGATCCTTGGATCTTTTGCGTATTTTATTACGATCCTGGGTTCTCGAGGCGTTTCTATTGATTGAATTTATGGTAGGTTCAGTACTAATATTCTGAAAGGACTTTTTATCCTTTTTTGGATAAACTGGTGGTTTAGATTTGATCTTTTCATATCCTGAGGAATGAGCACTTTGAGCCAGTGTAACTGTACCCCAAGAAATCGTCTCATTAATAACTTCCTGTTGATTCTTCAGCTTTGGAGTTTTTGTCGAAATAACGTTGGATTGATGATTCTGTTTTTTCGAATAAGAGACCATTTCATTAGTATTCATATCTTTTTTTTCTTTGTTACTATTCGTCCCAACCTGTCTCGATATACTCTCAAGTTTCCAAGTGGTCTGTGAGTAATTACATTTTTTAGAATATTTCATTACACTATTTGATCCATTTTGAGGTAACTTATTAAAATGTTCTATTTGACATTTAACAGGATGTTCAAGCCAGGACTGAATATTTTTCTTTGAAAAAACATTAGTCCACATTAAACATTGTTCATTGAATCTCGAACTCAATTGATTCCTAAGTCCAATTTTCATTGCCCAATTCTCATTGCTTAATTGACGAATTATGTTTTTCAAATTTGTACACTCTGTCAAATTATTCCGATCATCGTTTAATGCAACAGAAATAGCTGGTTCAGGCTCTGTAAGAAGTTCAGCGATGTTATTGTTAGACAGTGTGTCTTTCACTTCTTCAAAACTACTCTGCTTCTCCTTAAGAAGAGTTTCCTCAGATAATTTTTCATCTGCAGGATAAAATGTCGAACAATCCTCCTGTTCTTTCATATTTGTATATGTTTCCATAAAATTTTTTAAAACCTTCTGGTCATCGAGATCTTCCTCTGAGGACCATTTACTCGGAAATTTATCATTATCAAAAAAGTCCTGACAAAAAGAATCATTCCTCAAAGTCATTTTTTCTTTGTTTAATTTGTCAGAATTCTCACTATGTTTTTCCTCGTCATCTGAACATGTTTCCACTGTACACGAACATTGTACTTTTTCTACAGTGATCTGATTACCTACTGATATCACTTCTGAGGATGCTGTGGAAACTTTTCTATTGACGTTAATCTTCACATTCATTATGTCTTCCCCGGTGATTCCAAGGATCTTCATGGATTTTTGAGCAGGACTAAGATCGATATCAAGAGAAGTAATACTTGAAGCCTTATCAATGTCTTCAGAATTGTAACTGTCCGTAGTGAGCAATGTTGGCAATGACTCAGTTAGTTTTGGATTTTTCAAGAAAGGTAAAGGTGATGTCAATTCATGAATATTCAAAACGCTGGTGACGCTCCGTCTTTGATCCAAGAACAGTATACTTTCTTCGTAATTCTGATCCAGATTCTTTTGGGCTTCACGGAGGGTCAAAATTTGTTTACAATGCTTGAGTCCATTGTATAGTTTTTTAACAGAGAACCAATTACGCACAGATAATACTAGAATATAAAAAATCAGTAACCCTTTAATTGACGAACAGGCTTATCAATAAATAATTGAAGAATCAGAAGGAACTACGAACTAACTCCAGAGCACTGATTCGAGCATGAGGAATTCAAATAAATTCCTAAATGAGCACTTTTTGATGATACACAATAAAATACCAAGTAGAATGACAAGAGGCTGCATTAAGAATTTGTTGATCACTTCCAGGATCATCCATGGTACTAATAGAAACGGCAAATGCCATGTGAGAATAGGAATCAACATGAGGAACAGCAATATACAATAAATTTTTGCTGTATAGCTCCTTATATAAGTAATTCCTGACAATACTGAAAAAAGTAAATGATCCTCCATGATTTCCTTTTCGTTTATATACAAACCATTAATTTATGTTTCTCTTGCTGCAGCCAACTAACGAAATTTTATCCAGTACATCAAGTTAACAATCACTTTTGGACTATCCTTAGTTACTGGAAGATTCCAAATTTTGATTACACTCTCATCAAGCTTGGAAGCACTTGGAAGGAAGTGTATCGTACAAACCACCTAGAACAAACTAATTTCAAATTTTCAACATTGTCTACGGTGTTCGTTGATTAGCTAATAACCAGCTTAAGAAGTGTCGTTATTAGAAGTTCCCTGGAAAGAAATAAATCTATTAGTCGTCCGAGGAGCAAGTCCATTAGAAATTCGAAGATTTATGGGTCAAGTAAAATCATCTAAAATACACGACACAAACTCGATAAGTGGACAAAATCCTGATAACATAGAATTTTTAAACAGGCTGCGAATTTTGACATGGACATGTTCAGTTTTGATAGTTCACAAAAGACTGTAATCATTTGTTTACACTATGCATTAACATACTGACATTAGACTAGCAATTTCCATTTGTTAAGTGTTCAGGTATTTTTTTTGAATGTCAATTTAGTTCAATATCTATGTGTAAGATGGCACTGCAGTTACACTTACCTTAGAGCACGGTCTTAGGGCTCATTCAGACCGAAAGTAGCGGGAAGCGAGAAGCGAGCAGCAAGCAGTTTGAAACTTTAGAATAGAGTGGTACCTCTTTCCAACGTACATAAGCATTGGCATATTGTGATTGATCTTGATGTTAAATTGTAACAAAGGAGACTACATGCATGTAACATACAACGAGGCTATACCACGGGCTATACACATTTCGTCTGATGCCGAATTCAAAATTTATTTCAAACATGAACTATGACGTGAAGTAGGGTTGCCATCATCTTTTTGCTATTTCGCTGCTACGGAAAGTTGAACGTTGATCAAGTTTTCAAAATCGCAGTTCAAGCATTGGAATCTGCTTAGTAATGAAGTCATGTTTTAAGAAAAATTATGTATTACTATTTCCAATGTAGTATACTTGACTCTTTATACGTAATTAAGGTAAATAACTTATTTCTTAATGCTTTCATACGACTACCTAATATAAAAAGGCAGAAAATGTAGTTTTGCGGCCAAGATTCCGCTGCTCGCTTCCCGCTTCCCGCTGCTTTTGGTCTGAATGAGCCCTTAGAGTCCCTCTAGTATGAGTCCGGCCAACACCCGGAAGGGACGCCATTTTAAGGGCTTGTTTGGCGCCACCATGACATTGCGCGAGACTCGGTCGAGTCTCGCGCCAGGTACAGGCAACCCGCCGTACAGGGCTTAACCCTACCCACCTACACAATGCGAATCTCTCCCATATACATATTCACACACTCCATTCTATTCCGGAAAGAGCCCATCATATGGCGGAGCCAATCACTAACAAGCCCCACCGTTGGTCGGACTCTTACTAGAGGGACTCTAACTTACCTTACTTATAGTTTACCATAAACATCAGAGGGGAAATTTCATTAAAAAATGTAAAGGCCTCATTGAATTTCTCGCTAGGCCTCTACGAGCTATTATCATCTAGCCAGGCCCTAAATTTACAAAAGAAAATTTCGACTGTATCTTATACCTGGTTATTCGGACCAAATTCACTAGCTGATTATGATTTTACCATAAAAATCAAATGAGCATTCTCATTTCAGCTGGAGCGTTTAGACTGAATAACCCGGTATAAATCATTCAGTGTATCCTATGGTAAGTTACGTCTTTACCATCAATGTAAAATGATAATGAACTATTTGAGCTTTCAAACAAATGGCGCTAGGGACAATGCAAAGCGTTTACAATTTGGCTTAAAGTTTCTTTTCGAAAAATCACATCTTTCGTATCAATTAAAATCTTTAAGTTCTCTCGCTATCGCCTAATCCCTAATGCATGTATAACTTATAATTAAAAATATAACAATCATTCGAATTGATTATATTCTAATTCTGACATTAACCAGCAATATTGAAACTCCTTCTGTCCAAGAAGTTGAGTGAACGTACTTAATCATGCAAAATTATTCGAGATCATTGGCAATATCCAAAATTGTCCACATAAGCTCCATATGTTTACGTGACACGCGTGGTACGCACCTGCCAATATGTAACCACGTTATTTCATAGTTTGGACCTATATATACCCATTCATCATATATATACCTTCATATAATTACACCATTAAAAATACCCACACCACACAAAGCATGAGAGAATTTCCCGCTGTACGAGATCCGCGTGCTAGGTGTGTTAAACGTGTGTAGATATAGGAGTAGGTCGCGGTAGGTGTAGATACAGTAGGTGTATCCATACAACATCCATCCGCGGTTTGGCGTAGCGCGTTTCTGTTCTTGGCACAGTTTCTCACCGTCTTCTCTTGTGCGCGGAACGCGACACCAGATCCGCAATTCGAGCGACGGAAAAAAAAAGATTCGGAGAGACATGAATTTACGTGTTTAAGCAATCCATCTGACGTAACGCGGTCGAATCTCGTTGTTAATTAATTGCCGAAGATTTTGATAACCGGATATAATATTGCTTGCTCTGCGCTAAGTTTGCGAAGTATCAAAAATTTCTTCGACGGATAAACAACTTGGCATACCGGGTGAGTACAGATACTCATAGATAAATAACAATTGGAAAACTATTGTATAGATGGTTAAATGCCTAATAATTAGTCACTTCTGTATCGGGTGATGATCCCAACCATATGATCTACCAAAATGATATTGATTGGTACAGAAAAGGATCGATACGTGTTTTTGAGTCAAGTTAAATTTAGAATTCTTGGCGATGACGTTGCCGCTATCATTTTCAAAGCTCCGTGAAGCCGAGAAGAGTAAAACGATTTTTGCGCAAAGTCGATCCAACGTGAACAGATTACTATTGCGTTTTACTTTCTTTTCCTTGATATAATTATTTCCTCTTCGTTAATCTCTTCACAAGCAAATATGTATATATGCCTATAGAATGTATATTCATAGAATTTTTTTCGGTAAGATTGTACAAGTGGTTTGTTCTTGATATTTTTTTTATCCAATTCCTAGCATGTGGCCTACAAATAACTAAATTTATCGACGACTCTTGACGTCTTACGATTCCACTACATCTTATATATACTTATATACGTTACTACATTATCGAGTTGCTGTTGCGTTAGCTGCGTGCGTGCAATCTGTGTAACAGCTGACAGGTCGATTCAAAATTAAACAATGAGTGCGTTACCTGTATATGATTGCGTGTCTCGTCAGAGAACTGACACAATACCTATAATTCCTACAATGGTCATTTTTTACTGGTTATATTAGACCTCGCTAGATGGCGCATCGATCTTCTCTTTTTCTCACTCTCTTTCGACTCTTTTCTCCGAGGTGAACTGGCGGGACGACAGAGTTCAGTTTCCATATGAGGATCGTTAAGTAGTCGCATGAGAAGGTTGTTGTCCGTGGCCATGACGATCGTCATGGTCGCCTACTGCGATTCGAATGTACGTATATATGCACACATGGTCATATGTGAAACACTTTATACAAGCAGAGGAGTCAGACTTCAGTGTCGCTTGACCTAAAGCAAGAAGTTCATAAAGATCACGATATTAGAAAAATGGTCAAAGTCTAAAGGCTAAAGTAAAGTATATTCACGTTTGGAATTATAATTTCCAATAACATTGCAAGACATGCGCTATAATAAATGATGATGTGATACGTATACTAGAATAAATGTAACGATCATATATGCAACATGTATTTAAATACGTATGATGCTTGTACAATGTAAAAGTTTGATTTTTTTTCTTCCAAAATTTCGAATTCCTACAATTTATCTCTTTCACGTTAAACCATACCACGTGGTCTGGCCTGGAATAATAAACTGAATGTCGAAGGTCGTGTGTTGTTTTGACCTGTTTTAAAAATAGCATAACGCAATTCGTCAATGACCTATATTCCTCTGCTTCACGTAAGATTCCCAAAATTAAGGGAGAGTCATAGCGAAAGCGTCATCTTGGTTCTTCTTCATTTTATTTCTAAAGATCAATTCCTTAATGTGATTCGTTCCTTATCGTTCTACTGGATTCACTCGTTTAATCCTAACTGACGAACGTCGATTGACCTAGTTACTTCCCTTTGAGAAATGCTCGATTTCACGATACCCCTATATCCATTCATGGATAAAGCCCTCTATTAATTCGTAGCCTGGGATTACGTCACGCCATTTCCGAGGCCTGACGAGCTACGCTTGAGCACCTAAGCGTCCGCAACACGTTTCGTATTTCCATACAGTACACGTGTACTTACGTACATTATACATTACATGTGTTAATATGATATATGATAAACAGAACAATCTCTGCACCATAATACGTTGCATTGCAATGCACAGTGTGGTGCAGTAATTGTGGTATGGTTTGAATACGCCATATCATATACATACATTCTTTAACAAATTTTGATACGCTGATGCACCGTACTGTAAAGTCGCGTATAAATTGCGTAAAAGTCTTCTAAAAATTATGAAGTTTATTGTACAGTCCTAAATATCGTAACAAATATTTTTCTTGATTTCAGGCACATTTTTGTACTCTCTTTACTGTTCCAAAGAGTACTTCCCATCTTGACAAGGAACAATGGCACTGAAAACATGCTGTTGTTGTATCCCGCTCAAAGAAGGCACTATAACCATTGGTATACTCGGTATTGTATGTATGATATTGTTTAAACATAGTAAAACGATGATAAAAATTATAGGGTTGAATTAGAATATAATATGCATTATTTTTTAATTTTTTTTTATAGATATTATCAGTGATAAACATCATAACGCTCTTCACTACCAATATCAGAAACAGGATTATACTCATTGAATATCTTGACAAGTCAGTGGTTGTGATTATTCTGACAATAAATCTCATAATGACTATACTGATCTCGACTCTTCTGATAATAGGAGCGATAAAGGTAATCAATGTGTTATGATCATTATTGAATAATTCCTTTTTTTACCTAAATACTATTCTCACAGAGAAACATCTATCTGATGCTTCCTTGGGTGATACTTGGAATCATGTGCGTCGTGGGGCTTGTAGGGAGCGTCTTGTACACGGTTATAATGCTGTACATTCAGTCTAAGGTCTTGGACGGTTCCTTATACTTGTTGTTTGGTATTCTGGCAATAGGTAAGTGAAATATGGTTGAGTTAGAATGTAATATTATGATGATTATTTGATTCGATTATAATTTTTGTCATTAATTAATAATTACTTTAGTCTAGTCATGTAATGATTAAAAAAAATTATTTTAATATATTCTTACAGTGATATACTTATACATATGGGGTGTGGTATACAGCTACTTCCAGGAAGTAAGACTAACGAAGAACGATGGAAAAATGGGACCTTATGGAAAACCCTATTATTATCGACGACCTTAATTGGCCTACACGAGGATGACAGAGTAAGAGCATCCCGTAATATGATCCCTCAGGAATCAAATGTCCCTCGCGATTCTGTCAACGAGATATTTTTCATATATTTCGCTATACGACTCGTTAAACGAATTGTACTGCATAAGGGAGATTTAATAATATATGAATACATACGAATTAAGTAATGAAAATGATGCAAGGATGAGACACGGGTGTTGATTCACGTCTTTGGACTTGAATCGTCTGGCTGAAATTGACGTGTACGAAGGGTCACATGCTTCCAGGCGATACAAGCATGCTTAATCGTCAGGTTAATAATATTATTTAGACTGTGTGAAATTAATAAGTAGTTTATCATCACTGTCGCCAATGACGAGACGAACATAATTAAAAGGAGGGGTCGACTTTAAAAATTTTAATGAATCGTTATACCATTTAAATTCCGGCTCTCTACTATACATTGTATGTAATATATGTATGCTGGCACATATATGTATACGTTTGTATAGCAATTCACATGCGTCAATGGGAATGTTTTTTAACCTGTGTTACTCAATGCTAATAAATTATCGTTTTTATTGTTTTAATGATCTCGTTCATATATGTTCATTGACCTTTAGGTGGATCTTATGAATTGATGGAATCCTGTGGGAATTTATATACTTTAAAGGTGAGTCACTAATAATTGTGATGAGCTGACATTTTGCTTTTTTTTTGACACTTCAATATTTTATTTGAACGTTATTAGGTTTATTACTATATTTCATAGTTGGTTGGATATAGAGTTTTCATATTTTTGGATTATTTACATTTCTGTACCAACTTCCACGTACTGACGTATCAGTAATGCCAAACTAGCAGCACCCAAAGCAGTCGAATGATTATCACAGCCAAAATCAGTAGCTGAACTCTCTCTGCGATTGCGGATTCTGAGATTCTTAAAATTTCTGGTATCGCTCTTGAAACTATGACAAATTAATGTCAAAAAGAGATTTAGAATTTTTTTTAATAAATAGACTTACCCAAAAGCACTGAAGCAGCCAGCATAGTTTGGCCAGCTGAGTATGAGACTGGTATAATGATCATTGGCGAATTCTAGAAAACCCTCCATGCCGCATAGTAAAACTGTAAATAATATATTTCCGAATTGTGAAAATTCGTTAAAAAATTATTCTTAGAATTTTTATTTACTTTGCTCAGTGGCGAGATCGCGAGCCATTTCCGGAAATCTCGTTGCTTCCAGTTCAACTAAATCTTGTAAGATCCGTTTACAGTACAAGGGTATAAGTTGTGTAAAATTGGTCCTGAGGTGTTCCTGACATCCCAACTGAAATTGAAAAAGATTTTTAAACTCATAGCTAAACTATTAACAATAATCTAATTTCTTGATAACACTCACCGCTCTGGCTAACTGTATATATAATAATCGATGGGTCAAAGGATAGCCTCTTGGATTGTCATCTCTTAAAAGCATCTCTGCACAGTCATTAGATACTTTGCAATTCCTTTGGAGTACACCCAATGACAAATTAATTAGACAATTGTCGCTGTCATTCTCCTGAGGAGTACCCTGGTACATTATTCTCTTGGTACAAAAGCTTGTCAATCCTTCACCAGCGACAGGAATCTTTCCCAGAAGACCCAAACGCCAATGAATTGGTCTGATCCATATTTTCGGTTGATTCATTATGCGAATTACTGTAAAAGTAACTTCTGGCTTATCTATTATTTTAGACCGATATTTATATGTAATATTGAAAATGATGTATTTTGAATTAAAAAAAACAGAATCTTACAGGGGTGATACTGTTCGTTCTTCAAATTGATTATGGACATTGTGTTGATTCTGGCATCTCTAGATATCCTCAAAATATTTTTCAAAATCCTTCGATATTGTTTGTCGAGTACATTCAGTTTTGGATGTTCCAGACAAGCCATAGTATTAGCTGTATTAAGTATGTATTTGGTATTGTATAACTTTTAATTAACACATTCAGTTACTACCTTCCACTAACGTGATACCAAAAATGGCGTCCACGTTCATTTGTTCAGGTCGCTTAGCCATATATTCCACTGTGTCGTGTAAAGTTTTTAAACGAGTCCCTAAAAATAATTATGCCCGAACGTATCCATAAGATATAATGGTATTTCTTGTTATCTTAAGTAAACGTATTTTACCAAGTCCCACTGTTGTCAAAGCGGCGTTGACATACTGCAAGATAAAGATAATCACCAGAAATAACACTATGCCAAAATTTTGTAAAAAATTCCGAAATTTTGCACGGTCCATGTTGGGTGCGTTGTCGCGAGTTGAAATGCCAGAGAAACGGTGTTCTCCGTTATATATATATGGAATGGAGGTAGAACGACATTTTGTTTCCGAGCAACCGAAATCCTACTGTAAATTAAAATGAATACCAGGCTTTTTAGAAGATCAGGATGGAGAGTCTATTATTGTTGGGAGCTGCGTAATGCAAGGAAATTGCGTATCAAGGTGTGAGGGAAGCCGGCTTAGCGTCGCTACAACGTTCGCTGATTCCATAGCTTACGTGAAGACGTCAAATGAAATGTAATAGTTCCCGTAAAGAAAACACATTTTTCCAGGAGACGTGACAGAGTCTAGAATGAGTATAAGAAACAATGATGAACTACAATTGTATATTTTTGAAATGCTCTTTATTAAATTTATTATCAGCTTTTTCCTATTGATAGTAATTATTTCATATCTACCGTTGTACCTACAAGTGTATTTGTTACTGAAAAACATTTTTGAGAATAATGCTGACTATGATTATATACTGATATTTATTAATGTACTAGGATCCGCATACATGCGTTGCCTTAAAATAAGAAATCAATACAAGCTCTGCTGATAAGACGATGATAGTTCCAATACAAATAAGTTATGTCAAATATCCCATGGCAGATAACACAATCCCGTGTTATTAACGTTTTACATGCAATCAGGATGGAACGGATTTAGGTACGTGCCGGAAACGCATCCTCTGACTCCGTGGCCTAATTTAGTGCAACGTCCAACTTTTTTTTTAGTCTGTAAAAAATAAACGGTATTATTTATTTTTTAAATTATTTTATCTTTATTATTTAAATTACCACTTGGTATTCCATGTGGCAGGGTGTTCCTACGCCATCTTCTTCAAGAACATCTTGAAGAGAGTTACTCTGAAATGAAAGAAGGAAAAAACACTACGTGAAATATATATGAATTTAATTAGCCATCTAGAGGATCATTCTGCAACTGTTACTATAATTGAAGGATGGTTCATGGGTAACATAGGATCCTCGATGTCGTTAAACAGTTCAGCAATTCCAGCAGACGCCGATGAGTCGAATAGCGCCATGGCGGATAAAACCAGAAGTACGCAGAATGTTTTGGATATCCTTAAAAAAAAGTTTATGAACAATTAATTGTCGTTGTACGTATCCTTGATAAAAAAGATGAACTTTCTTACATGGTCACGAAGTAAGTATGGCAAAGCACCTTCCGACGTAAGGATGGAACTTGACTATTATCGGAATGCTACAATTCCAGAGTTTTTATACGGCAAATGAAGCCTGGTAGTGACCATTTCAATCAGAAAAGGTTTCACTTCCCACTGTTACAGTCCAGAACACGCTTGTATTTCTCACCATTCGACGGAAATTGACAATTAATCACCGAAACCTAGGTAATCTCGGTATAAAATTAATTTTTTATCTGGATGATTGTCTAGGAATTGATATTCCTTGTTCGGACGAAGGAAAACAAATTTGTAGGTGCGTGTGTATACATATATCGATTCATGGAAGATTTTTTTTGCTGCTACATATTTACAGTAGTGGAGTACTCCAATACCTGATAATATTTTTAACAAGGATTCAATACTTTGCGAATGAAGTAATTTTATGTTTCTTTTTTCAAGACAATTTACTAAAATAATAACGTTTATACCGGTACAAGCAGTATAGAGGTTATACTGCATGGAGATAAAAATTTAATCCTTATCGTACATATTAAAACGTGTATGCCTTCGGACTGTGACTAACCTTTTATTTTCTTTATTATGTGTATTTCATTTTTGAGGAAACAGCAGTATGGTATTCGCCTGGGACCAGCTTGCCAATTTCATACTTTATATAAATTGTTAATAACCTTTTAAAGTAACGTACTTACTGTTCTTTCGTAATTCGCCTGTTATCCCATGGGGCTGTGATAGCTGAAATTATCTTTCACGTTTAATTACCACAAACCCACAATAAAACTATCATGGTGGGATCACTGCAAGTGTATAGTATTTCTATATAGTAATTATTGCTTCCGAAAATATAGTAAATGTATATAAATATGTAGGGTATATGAACACTGGGGCGACGTGCGCGCTTTCGCGCGTAATTAAAGGTCCGTTTGCACCGCAGCGCTCAGAATATAAATGTATTATCACACTGTACAACTATAATGCAAAATTACATAATCATGATCTCGTTGGCAACTAATTAATCCATTAAATTTGAGTTTCATCCAAATTCAATAATTACTTGCATTTCGGATAGCCATTTTGAATTCCCTTATTCAGACCTTGAATTCGTATTCGGTAACTTGGAGAACCCGATTACCGAATTTCATCGAAATCAAGTAACTTTTTGCAATCAGTCTGCCATATTGGATCCACCACTTTGAATTTTCTAATTGTTATTCCAAATTTCTGTTTAACTACCAGAGCAAATTCTTGGGTTCGAAATTACGTAAAAATCATTTAAACCAATTGCATAATTGCAACTCTCAGCCAATAACACAATGGAAATTCCTGTGAACGCGCTGTTGTATTGTTGATAGAGCTGCACTCTGGGACTGAGAATAAACAAATTATAAGATATATCATACATGATCATTCCAAGGATGTAGTATTATTTAGAATAGAGATTAAAGGGAAGATGCTCAAAACGCATCGCTTTTAGGCGATACCGAAATCATGGCGCTAAAACGTAGCGGCGAGTCCGGGACTGGGATTTTATGATCATCACCTCCGTCGATAATGTATATATCCCGTACATACATACATGTTCCTTCGTCGCTATTTACCGCCCGTTCTCACAGTGACTCTGCGAGCGAGGCCGCTCCTCAGATATTGCCTAAATATTTTTTTTCTTTGTAATCTTAAGTTCGAGCACATAGTGTAAACTCGATAAGATTTACCGTGGCAAAAGCCAGCACCTCATGCCTATCTACACAATATTTATCCGTTACACAACACAGTTTTATTAACAAGTTCTTAAAATTAAAAAATACATATGTTTTGTACAATGTCATATAGCATTACTACTTTTGGTATAATTCACGTATACGTAACTATGTTACGCAACATTAGCATGCTCAGAGAGCTGTCTGATTTTTCCAATGCAGTAATGCAAATTCAATATTCTATAATTTTCTTACGCATTCTATACTGTCTATTAAAATGTCAAATTTACATTTTACTTTCTAATACATAATGGGGTACATTATTCAGTTTTTCACCTTGTGCGTATATATTAACAGTATTATTATGCTGTCATTGGTAAAGACCTATCGGGATACAGCGACGACGTATATTCCCTTGGTATAATTAGCAGTAAACGTAACCTTATAATACAAAAATAATAAATATTTGTTTTCATTACATTTCCATAATCAGTCTTTCTGTGTTTACCTGTGAATACATGTATACATTTATGAACGACTAGCGCGACATTTAAATCACGCAATCCATTAGATATACTCGCGAACACTTAGAACGTTGACTCAACAATTTGTCAGCTCCAGTAGAAATCTAAAGACAGCATTATTGATTACCGATCAATTTGACTATTTTGATTTTCACGTATGAACCTAAGGCTAGTCGATCCACCTTAGTGAACCCTATAATATCGTTTATTTCAGCCAGGTATATTATTATTCAGAAAGATTCCTTTGTAAGATAAGTCCTCATAACTTAATAGGCGTATAATAGTACCAATACGGAAAAATTTTAATCAGGCCATGAAAAGTGGAATATTTTTTCATTCTCTTTTTGTAAAATATTTGACTATCATCATATTGAGCGTTCTTCATAACTGCCATTAAAAATCATATTGTTATTCACTAACAGGCATCACGCATGAAAATTTCCAGGTTCGATTTTATAATCTACGATTAAAAAAGTGGTAAGTAAAAATACTCAATTTACATTGCAGAATGTTACAGATCGATGCCAAGTAGTTCGCGACTATCTGTACTAGATAATCGACGTCGTAAACTGCGACGACGAAACTCCTTCCATCAGACGGATGCACGTTTCACACGAAGACCAGTCGTGATCGATGGTGGTCTGTATCCCTGATACCCTGAAGAATCCAAGAGTTCCGTCGTTCCAGTACCCAAGCAGGTGCAGGAACATACGCTGACGCAATCATCGGTATCGTGAATCATAGGAACATGGCCAGCCAAGAGTTTCCCGTTCACTGCTACAACTTCACCGTCAAGAGTCAAAACGTGATGGGATGCTGGCTGCAACTCGTTATCCTCACGTCGTACGTCTTCGGCATTCCTGAAGGAGACATATAAAATATGTATTAATAATTATGACGTAAAAAGTGGAAAAAAAATTTGTATACTTCTATGTGACTTACATAGTCATGAAACGAAGTACGAGTAAATTTATGCTAGCTGCAACTACTGCTAGACCGAACAGAATGAAGACCAAACTCAGTGCTACGTATCCAGGCTTGTTTGACAGAGCTTGGTCGTTCTGAAAGAAAAGTATGAATTCTTGTACAATGATAAAAATTGATAACAAGTTTTGATATGATATGTTTGATTGATAATCGATTTTACCTGAAGAGCAACATAGTCACCGAAACCAATAGTGGTAAGTGTAACGAAACAGTAATAAAAGCTATCAAAGTAGCTCCAGCCTTCGTATCTTGAAAAAACTGCAGCTCCTGTTGTGATTATTATACTTGACAGCATTCCTGTCGCTAGCATGAGATTCATCTCGGTGGCTTCTGTCTTTTGACACTTTAAGTATCTCTTGGCACGTCTAATGACCACTGATGCAAATTTATTTAAACGCTCGCCAATACTTTGGAACATGACGAGACCTAATGGAATTCCAACCATGGCGTATGCCATGCAAAATGCTTTACCGCCTATTGTCACGGGTGTGGAATGGCCGTAACCTGGAAATTGTAAATTAGTGAAAGTAGTACCGAGAAGATATTGTGGTTTAAAAATAGTACTGTCGTTTACCAATCATTGCCAGTACAACAGTAGCAAAATAAAAGGCTCCAGCAAATTTCCATTGTGGACCAGCTTTGTGAGGCTTATTTTCAATTATGACAATCTCTACCATACGGTAATCCTCTGGTGTAATATTGTATTTTCTCATCATATTACGTCGAACCTCTAAAATAATTATTAATACTCACTAACAATATAATCTCTTTGGTTATATACACATTTTATAATTATGATATTCTTTAATTAATGATAAAATTACCTGAAAGAAATTCCCAACGTCTTCTCTCTGTATCCGACTCCAAAGCGTCAAATACCGCAGCACCGATTAAAAGATAGGTGAAGGTGCACACTACCAATGATAGCGTTCTGACGTTTTGTCTTTTCATCTTTAAATACGTATTTCCAAACTTACGTCTGAAATATTAAATTCAATAAAATCGTTCTAGTTTAAATGCAGCACAACATTGTGCTCACGATGATATGATCTTACCTTTAATTTATATGGTATACGTACAATTTTTCTTATTTCATTTAATTCATTTTGACAATATATGCCAAAATTGCATCAACTTCAAGCAGACACTAAATAACGAATAAAATTCCATAATCGCTGCTCTTCAAAATCCGGGACACAAATCATCACTGTACATAGAAAACATTTATATAAAAGCTATGGAATAATCGCAATATTTAGTATTTCGGTATAGAAACCGTAGTGAAACTGCTACACAGTGGAGATGAAGTATTGATCAGACTTGCGCGGAGGAAAGCGCCATAGAGATGAGGCTAGCGGTTACGATGGCAGAGATGAGTAAGGAAATACCTGGAAATACCGTATCGCCTAAAACCGTAGCGTTGTGCATCTCCCTACTCATCTCTGACAGTGGTGATGCAAGCAGCCAGTGGTTGACTGATAACGCTGATATGATCAATTAAAGGTCAAACACGTTTGTTATATTTATGTTACATTTGTACAGTTATTATGTAACAAAATAGAATTTATGTATTAAAAATATAATTGGTACAAGTTGCGTTTCTTGGATTGTAGGAAACTGGCAGTCGGTTAAGTAAACCCCACGGCATCTGATAAATGTAAACGGGTGCGTCACAGATATGCACGTACCAGTTGTTGTTATGATCCACATTGTCGAATTATAGCCAAGTAATGAATTTTTAAAACCATCTTTTTGTGCATTCGTAACGCTGGCATTTCAGTTAATCTACGAATCAGCTCGAAAGCGTCGACTGAAGGTAAATTGATTAGGAATTCTCGTTCGTTCGACGTCGCGCGATCTGACATATTGACGGATCATTGACACTTCTGCCACCTGTGAACTGCATCAGGTATTACGTTTTTAACCCAGGTAATCCGTGCATTTACAATTTCTAAACAACTGAACGTCAACAACGTCCTTTGAGTGCAAATCATTGGGTTAGTATCTCATCACCAAGGCATTATTGATACTCACTGTACAAACTGCATTTGAAAAATTTGTTGCATAATGGAAACACTGCCTACTAATACTCTAGTGCGAAGGAGTACTGATTGGTACATGGATTTACTAGTATAAGCTCCTGTGGCTGTGGTACTAGTATAAGCTCCCAGAACCCGGTAAGATGTCCAAGTCCGTTTATTTTCTGTCAGCTACCCTTTACTATTTGGAAAACTGTATTATCGGCAAAAAAACTCTTTTCGCACGGATACAGTATTTTAGGCATCACTAATATATTCAAAGTGCATTTACGTGAATAGAAAAATAATTTTCCAATAGTAGTATAACAAGGGGGGGG